GTATGCACGTATGCACGTATGCATGCATGCATGTATGTATATATCGTATGTATATATCGTATATATCTATGTATATAAATACATTTATCCACACACACACACACACACATGCACACAAAGCCCATGCATAAATGTATGTAGGCATAAGCCAGGCGTAAGCAGGAAATGCGCATGTATAAGATAAACTGGAACTCTTTATGATCTGACATAATGTGATGTCCTGTCCTCTCCTGTCATGTAATGTTTTGTAAAGTAATGTACTTTAATGTAATGTTAAGGCATTCGATGCAATGTCATGTATAAAGTCATGTCCTGTGGCTGCATGCCATGTGATGAAATAAAAAAGTTCCGATGCGATGTGATGCTCAGCAATGAATTGCAGTACTACTGTATTGTAGCGCATCGTAACGTAATGCGAGGCAATGTAATCTAACGTCGCATGCAGTGGAATGCATCGCAACGTAATGAATTGTAATGTCATGTGGCGTAAGGGACGGCAAGGCAATGTAATGAAGCGTAGGTAAGGTAATGTCGTGTAATGTTTTGCAATGTGTTTGAAGCTAGGTGGTGTAATGTAATGTAGTTTACTGCAGTAGCGTATTTTTGATGTAACAGACCAGACCGGACTAGACTAGAATGAAAGATTGCACAAGAAGGTCAAATGTACTGCAATGTCTTAGGACTCAGTTTCATATTTGCAAGCACTACATATGCATGCTCGGTCGCTCTAGGAATGCATATAGAGTTCCGCATAAATCCCAAGAAGAAGCATGAAGAAGCCGAATGATTCGCGCTTTTGACGGCCGGTTTGCGACTGCTTCCGGAGGATTTCTGTGGGATGTGTGGCAGGAGTCTTTGACTCGGAGTAGTGCGGTTCATGTTGCTTCTAGTCGATGTTCTACCGTTTTGAAACTCTTGCCAGCCTGTTGAACCGAAAACTGCCTAGAGGTTGACTTCTTCCTCACCCAGGAGGAGAAGGTCTTCCCCCAGTGGGAAAGGGGCCGCGGGTTGTCATAGAGTGGTAAAGGGGCTTGCCGAGAGGTGTTGAATCCTCAGATTGCCACGAAGGGAACTCCCGAACCTCTGAAGTGTCATTTCGCATATTGCGGTATAGTGCGATGGAGGTCTTTTTGCATGGTGTGTGGTTTTTTGGTGACTCGCTACACCGAGGAAAGCCTTCAGTCTTTGGTAAGGTTTCCTGCTTTCAGTGAGTTTCGACCACCTCAACGAAACAGTGAACTCTGGTGCTGAGCGGTGCATGTTCCTGAGAGTGTGGAAGGAAACGGTGAACATGATGCCGGTTCTGGTGCCACCTGTGCTGTGATCATCACGGTCAGTATGCTGATGGCAATGTACATCAGGGTGATGATGATAACGTCAAGGTTCTGGCAGTACTGCTTAAGGTGAGGTGCTGCTACTGATGATGGTGATGATGATGACGGTGAAGCGAGACGAGGATGAACATAAGAATGAGGATGAAGATTACGGCGAAGCTACAGACAGCATGGTTGTGGTGACATCGTCGTTGATGGAAATTGTGGCTGTCAGAGCCATACTCATGTTCATCAGCACCATCACCATCATCACCGTCATCACGATGATCGTCATAACCTGCTGTCAGTGCAGAATGTGCCGGACTGGCCATCATGGCCGGATTTCCCGCCGTGAATATATGTTGGATGTTGTTGCTACCACTTCGATGTTGCTTTAAATTGTGTGCTTGTACGGACGACTGCATAGCTGCATGGTTGTGGATGGTTGGACATGCATGGTCGGTTATTGGAGCTCGTGGGTCGTTGTCATTGTCATCAGCAGCATCAGAGGTCAATACCACAAGCCTGGAGCGAGACATGTGCCATCAATGGACTTCTTCGTAACATTCACGAGACGACTCCGCAGAGGTGAAGATCGAGGATGTGGAAAACTATGAGGAAGTTCTGCAGGAGGTTGAGCAACAGCTGCGCACCTCCGGCATGTTGTCATGTTCGCGGGTTGAGGTCAACTGCAGATTGGGCTTCAGGAGTCCATGTGTCCGGACCAACTACTGCAACCATAAATCCAAAATAGTGGCTTTAAGCCTGTTTGGGTTCGGCACCGAGGAGATCAGGGATGCAGACTGTAGACTATCTGACCCTGTTCGAGTTGTCCTGCATAAAGTTCAGGTATCGCAGGAAGCAGGAGAGAGCCTCTAGAAGACAGCCAGGTGATCTGTGCGATCCGCACAAGGCCGCTGCGGCTTTGTTTGTATTTCTTCCTGTACTTAATAATCCATGTGCAAAACTTGCTGCTGCTCGCCTTCCTGCCAGAAGTTTAGGCGGTGGATTGCCGATAATGTTGGCCTGTGGGCCACTCACAATCTTTTGACACCTAGCGACAGCTAATTCCCTCCATGAGCTTCATGATGTCATGATGTCGCAATGCTGCACATACACCTACAGAGGAAGCTCGGACATAACTTCACTCGCACTCCGATGTTGGCTCTCCTTGTAACACGGCATAGTGGGTGTCGTCCTAATTGAGTTTTGCATCATGTCGGAGATCTTTGCTCCGGTACCCCGAATCGCACGGCCTTGCATACAAACTCGCTCCGCCGTTCACGCTGCTCATGCTGATGGCTGTTGCTGAGCAGGTCGCTGCCCAGGTTGGGCGCATGTCGGCCGAGTACTCATCCCCCTTTGAGTCGCCGGAGAAGGCCACACAGATGTGCCTGTACAGACTGCGTCCTCCTCGCTGCTTTTCGCAGCACAGTTATTCCTTGCCACTTGCAGCCGTGCCCCTGCAAGCACTCCCAGCACAGGTGAGTCGATTACGTAATCTTGGTGTTTAGCCGACATCACTGGCTTTGGAAACCCTCCCTGCTTTTGGGTTGGCAGCAGCCGGAAGTTCGGCCAGGGCCAGCTGGTTTTTCGAAGCGACACCCTGACCAGACGACATATAAGCCGATGGCCCACCCCGCAGAATCGATTGCTATGTTTTCACTCACGGGTTTCATGTCTGGCCTTCTCAGTCTCGGTCGAAATGATCGCTCATGTGTGGCTGGCAGGTTTTGGTCGGGGTGACTTGTCTTTTGCTTGTGCCTCCTTGCACCGTGCTCCACCATGACGGATACTCCGTGGCCGTCGACGGATGGCACAACATGCCTTGCATGCTGTTCACATGTACATGCTGACTCTCGTACTGCAAGCAATCAGGACACATGCCAACAAAGCTTCTGGATGCATAGTTCGAAGGCAATCACAATTCGTTTGGTGTTCTTCGGCCTAGTCTAAGCCAGTCGCGATATGAATGTGAACTTCCCGAAGCGATCAGCTGTGATGCAGAATGAAGGGTTTGTTTGACCAAGGTTGATGTCATGACTTTTGGCCCTGTCCGATGCTGTTCCCTTTGCGGGATCTCGTTGGGAATGCGAGGATGTGCATAGCATCGAACCTCACGGTGAGTCCAGGCAGCAAAGAGAAAACAAGAGGAGTACAACCTGCAGCTCGTTGAGTACGAGATTACCGAAGGCCACTTACTTGCCTAAAAATGCAGCCACTGCTTTGCAGTGAGCGCGATTTGCGGATTTGTCTTGCTGCGGGTTTCATTGATCTTTCGAGGATGTGTCGCAGTCGTCATTTGCCACGTGTCGTCACAAGGCGTTCAGGGACGCCTGCAGTGCTGCTTGGAATCGGGTGCACAAGAATCCCAAGAGTACAGTCAGCAAGTTGTCCATACAGGTTTCTGGCAGATTGTGACTTTTCAGAGGCATTCTTCTCCGAAATATCATTACTTTTAGGTATATCTAGATCTCATGGCCCGTGCGCGATTTCCGTCTTCTTCACATTGGACCTTGAAGTAGTTTCTGCAACACAGCCCTGACCTTGGTCAAACTCTTGTCTTCGCGCTCTGAGAGCTTGCGCCTCCTGTGAGGAAAAGGTGGCGTGAAATCGGGTGGCAAGAAGGTCAAGAAGTCGTCTTACCGTGTTATCAAGGACCTCCAAGACTGGCATGAGTTCCCCTACAGCTTCGATCCGACTGCCATGTTGACCGAAAGCAGCATAGCCTACATAATTCATACCGCGTGGTAATTGTTGATCATTTATGCCTTCTTAGTCAGTTGTGTATACATATATACGTGTGTGCTTGCACATGTAAGTGCTTGCAAAAGCATGTGTGGTGTTACTTCGTGTGTGTGTGTGTGTGTGTGTTTGTTTGTGTGTGTGTATGTATGTATGTATGTATGTATGTATGTATGTATGTATGTATGTATGTATGTGTGTGTGTGTCTGTGTGTGTGTGTTTGTTTTTGGTGCTGTATAGTCATTTGCTTACACATAGACATGTACAGAATCATGCACTGGGTCCGATGTAGGTATGTACAGTTATGTGCACATAGAGGTAGATACACAACGAGAGAGTTTTGAGACAAATCTATCTTCACAACCGGACGTGTCAATTTTAAGTTGACGAGGGAAAGCAGAGGCTTGCATGTGAGCCTGATGAAATCTCGGTGCTTCCGCATGATGTGGTGGACGACAGGACGACTATCCTTTGATCTACCACTTGGACGTCGGTGCTATGTGCTGGGCTTGGACCGGTCAGGACACAAGGTCAAATCACAGCAGGTTTGTAGCGGGGACTGTAGACATCTGGCTGTACGCAGCTGGATCAGGGCACCTGCCCAAACACAGCGATTTTTTGTCTTAAGGCTTACTTTCTGGTCTGGACGAGGTATCCGAACATCATCCTGTCGAATCGGCTGCAGCCAATGGCCATCGCCGGAAGCTGAACCTCTTGCTTTGAGTTCAACTGCAGTCGTTGAGGCGTATAGTACATGGCCGTTTCAATTTGCCGCCGTTTCAAAAAGGAGCTGTTTACAGATAGGGTTTGTGCATAAGGTTTGGCACAGCTATAACTCTGACATGATGCTGTTGTCGTTGTCGTTGTCTTTGTTGTTTGACTGGCAGCAGTGTTCGGGTGTCGGCTGCTCTCGCACAATCTTTTTGCTTGTCTGCACAGGTCACCAAGGAGTTCTGCAACTCCTGCAGCTACAATGCTCCTTCCAACAAGCTCGTGCACTCAGAGAAGAGGTTGCAGGACTGGTATCGCCATCGATGTAGAGGATGGATGGCTGAGTCATATGATCGAGACTCGGTGTTCCGCTACTTCAGAAAGCCGCAGATTACAGCCTGTCTGGAGTTCAATCACGTTCTCGAAAGGATTGTCTATCTACATTGGTTATTCCTCTTACAACATCTATTGCAGTTGTTAAGTGCTACCTGCATTGGCTGTGAAGCTTGGTCTCAAACCCTGGGATGCAAGGGTGATTCGAACTGTACCGGCCGACCCCAAGAGCTCAGCTTGAAGCCTGCCGAGTTGTCAGCGGTCGATGGACTGGAAGTGGCGTGGTGACCTCTACATGGCCAAGAGGCCGGGTTGGGAGAGCTTGCTGCTTTCAGGGTTGAGGGCCCAGCAGAAGAAACTGAAGAAACACTCAGCATCGCGATGCATGTGCTTCCTGCTTTGTACCTTGCTGATCCTTGCACTACTAGCGTCCAACAATTCCTGCCGTAATCTCACTTCCACTACTTCTGCACCTCCTATGTAGTACTCCAGTACGAGTACCAGTACTGTCACTGCAACCGCCACTAGCACTACGAACCCCTCGCAGGATCTGTGAACCAAGCACAACTCGTCCAACGAAACTCCAGGGCCGATGTGCGTTCGATCGTCAACGAGATGGAGAGCGACAACCGCCGGTACAACCATCAGGACGTGGCCGCTGGTGTCTTTAGTCCCCCTGGGCAGGTAGAACCAGTGGAAGCGTGGACCCCTCAGCATCGGCCCCGTGAGCCTGCCCTTATTTGGAGCCCTAGGACAAGGAAACCGGGGAGACGCGTCGAGTAAAGTGCCGCACTCGGGATTTTGACAAGTCCTCGAAGTCTAATCTTAAGCACGTAGGACTTTGCCTACTCGCTGGTCTTGCAGCAGACGGTGTAACCCTTGATTACCAACTGCCAGTTGTTTTGAGGTGGAACGAGCTAAAAGAGGGGGAACAAGTCGCCGAGATCACGAAGGCCCCCTTTTACGGGATCAAGCTGATTGCCTTGTCTTCGATTCGTCACCCTGAGATCTTCGAGTTGTACTCGAGGTTTAGGAAAGTGGCTAGTCGGGCCAGGGTTATGGAGCTGGTGCTCAGTTGCAACTGGCATATGCCGCAATCCATACTTTCCCGAACGTCTCTTTCATCAGATCCGGTGTTCGAGGGTATGCACACAAGTCCTCTTGCCTCGCGTCTGTTAGGCAGCTAATGGTTTTCGCGACATGCAGGGAGAAGGTGTTTAGGAAGGCCTAATTGAACTCGAGACAGGGAACGAGTAACTACCGTGATTTGTGGCAGTCAAGTTTGGAGTGGGTGGATTCAGGATCCGGCTGACTCGACTTGCCAACGCAAGGTCTGATCTTGAAACTCTTCGACTCCCCTTGCAGAGGCCGTGCGGCAGTTCTCGACGCGCGCCTACAAGCGCCTCAAAAGCTCTGTCTACGAGGACCGGGGCTCGTATGCCTGGTAGATGTACAGGCAGTTGCAGTAAGCTGCTTGGTGGCCTTCGCCCATGGCCTTTCCCATCGTCATCCTCTCACTCGTCGTCCACATGTGTCCTGTGGCACCAACTTTCCCACAGTAAGAAGATCTTCCTAGGATGACCTTGCCAAGCCTGGAACCAGCCTTCCAGCGTCAGGATAGAACGGACATCGTGTGCCAACGCGAGAATCCATTCTACGTGAACACGGCGGGACCCTCCTTGCTATGCTTTTCCGAGCCAGAAGCATCGGGAGCAGTTCAGCACGCCGGTCACCTCGCCAAATGGATGATTAATGCTTGTGCTTTCTGAGCTGCATCGTCCAGGTCCTGAACTTCCGTGATCGTCGCTACATGTTCAAGCGCAAAGCCAGGGCCTGATTTGAGGTAGTTGCCCGGTTCGGGGTGCCATTCGATCTGACGTGCCGTGATCCGGTACAGACATGAAGAGAGATGGTACGTAAGACACTTGAGTTGCTCGAGCCTCGGAGCCAGGGTGTAACCGTCTAACCACTCACGCTGTGGAAGCTGGGCATAGAGCTCAAGGATCTGACCTCATTGGACGAGCGTGCCGAGGTTTGTTCCCCTACAAGCTAAAGTTGGTTTCTGAAGCGTCCTGCCGCCACCCAGACCAAAGAATGGAACAAGAAACTCGAGAAGGCTGAAGAGAGCCCGGGTCCCCAGTGTCGCAGCGGCCCCTGAGGTTCTTTAAGGCCTGAGGCTGGTAGCTGCCTTCTACTGGAAGTGCCGCTCGATGTTACAATGTTGGTTGGTGTCATACTGCTCCGTTTGTCGCCATCCAAGTTCCTATTCCCTTATCCGCATCGCTTTATCTTGCCTATCACGACCCAGTCCTGTGAAAAAACTCTGCCTTCCAGCAATATGGTAGAGATTGCTTTCCTGCCGTTTCCCTCCCGCTCAGGCGGTTCTTGCACTCAGGGCCCGCCCAAGCGTCGACATGGAATTCAATCAAGACAAAGCAAATCAGCATCTTCGATTTTGTTGCATATGACGGAATGCATGGACATCAGGGGGACCCCAGGCAGCGGCAGCGGGTTTCAGATTGATCAGAGGCACACGGGAATGTTCCATGTTTGCGTGCACAGGCCCGCGACGCTAAAGCACTGACATGTATAACGCAGAGCCCTTCATGAATGGAGTTCGTGCGATGTGGCTTCCTGGGAGTTCCTTGGCCGACCTCCCCTCCTCGGAGGCCACGGCCTTGGGGACTTGGGGCTGAGCGCGGAAATCTCATTCCGCCGTAGTCTTCGCAACTTTTCGGGACTGAGCTTAACCGCAACCTTTCCAATTTCGTAGGCTGCACTTTGTCCGGAGACAATGCGGCCGCAGCAGCCGACCGTGCCAGACCGAGCAGTTGATACACGTGTAAAACCTGCGAATCTGCATGACTGTTGTTTGAGTCGTTTTCTCTTAAATGCAGCAAATGCACTAGGTGTATACATAGACAGTCTACCTGTTATATGGTGTTGGTCAATTCTGGTCCTGTGGATTCTTACTAGTATTAGTACTAGTACTTGTAGCCGTAGCAATAGTAGTAGGAGCTGCAGCAGCAGCAGGAGGAGGAGGAGCAGTAGCAGTAGTAGCAGTAGCAGTAGCAGTAGCAGTAGTAGTAGTAGTAGTAGTAGCAGCAGCAGCAGCAGTAGTGGTACTAGTAGTAGCAGTAGCAGTAGTAGCAGAAGTAGTATTAGCAGCAGTAGTAGTACCAGTAGTAGCCGTAGCAGTAGTTGCAGCAGTAGTAGCAGCAGTAGTAGTAGTAGTAGGAGGAGGAGGAGGAGCAGGAGTAGTAGTAGTAGTAGTAGTAGTAGCAGCAGCAGCAGCAGTAGCAGTAGCAGTAGCAGTAACAGTAAAGCAGTACTAGTAGTTCCAGCACCAGTACCAGTACCTGTACCAGTAGTTAGGTTCAGTGGTTTTAGTTGTAGTAGTAGTAGTAGTAGTTGTTGTTGTTGTTGGTGGTGGTGGTGGTGGTGCTGTTGCTGTTGCTTTTGCTGTTGCTGTTGCTGCTGCTGCTGCTGCTGCTGCTGCTGCTGCTGCTGCTGTCTGCTGTTGCGGTGTTGTTGCCGTGTTGTTGTCGTTATTGCTGGGGCTGGAGCGGTGCAATGCCGCCACTAAAGCTTGAGCGCTACCACAATGCTACTGGAAGTGCCCGACCACTTCTTTCGCGGCTTTGAGGTGGGAAGTCCTTGGTATACCTCAAGGCGACGGACCTAGACTAGGGATGCAGAGTGTTCCGGGGGTTGGCGCTTCACCTTCTGAGAGGTGTCTGATTAGATTCGTTTTGGTGTTGTCGCGGACGTGATGGAAGCCGTCACAACTAGTGAGCCCGCTGCCATGTCAGGAAGTCAGTCTTCTGTAGGAGTCTCTGTGAGCTTCACACATGGTGGATTTTCGACAAGTTCACCACACTCTGGAAATCTACTGTAGGGCTCTAGGTGCCTGTAGAGACTAGCGAGGTCATGGATCACACCGCGGCCGATCTGAAGGCAATAACCTTCGAAAAGGAAAAACTCGAAGGCAGGCTACATGCCAATCGGAATTCACGCCACGACGGGTGATCGGGAAGAACTGGCGACTTGGGCTCCGACTGCGAAGGGGACGCGTGCGGATAGTGCGGGCCTCAGAAGAATCTGGGCTGGGAGGACCACCATCGCTAGAGGCACCTCCCCGGCCCCAGACCGTCGGAGGCCCAAGGAGGAGCGTGCCAAGTATGCTGGGGAAGCGGTCAGCCCGGGGAGGGCAGCGGTCCTCTGCAGCAGACAACCGAGCGTAAGAGCTACGACCCAAAAATGCCGGCCTCCAAAACCAGAACTGGTAGGGTCACAGTGGGTACCAAAGATCACATCGCCATTGCGCAACTCGACACCTTGATCCAAGGCGGGATCGGACACACCCCCAACAGTAAGGCCCCAGGGGAAAGACTCAAATGGAGAGCGAGTTCGGCTCTGTTGTCCCGGCGGAGCCCGTCGTCCCCGGATGTCCCTGGCCATGACCTTTCTGCATCTTAGGTGCAAACAAAGACGAGATCAAGCTGGCCTACAGACGCTTAGTGCCATCCTTGGCAATGTTTACCGATCTCGGCTGCCATGGGTTGTGGGGCGGTTCGTCAGATGGTTCTTCCGGCATGTCCAGAGCACTCATCTAGGCTGCTTGAGACGCCCATACCCGAAGCCCAAGAGGGGGCCGAACCCCGGTCCTTGGAGCACTCGCTATCCAAGCAAAGCCGAAACTCGAAGTCATGTGAATTGCTCTCAACCTACATGCGGGAATGAAGGCTTCGATGGAGCCTTACTGAAACCATGATTCGAGTGCTTCCAAGAGACCTACGACTCCATGTCAGAAGATTTGGATTTGCAATCAGTGCAAGACTCGGAAGTTGGAGTTCATTTGCACAGTCCTTGTTGTCACGGTTTTTCCAAGCAGGGCAAGGGTCTGTCTTTCAACATAGACATACCCAAGGACAGCAGCAAGCTATAACTAATGTACCCAGTATCATTGCCATTCTGCAGAAGAAGCCGCGAAACATAGACATGACCTCGAACATAGACATGACCTCGGAGGCATTGAAGTTTCACCCGGACGTCGACAAGTCAAAGCGAGCCACCTCTCGCTTTCAGGCCTGGCCAGCGCCAAGCCATCGGCTCGAAAGATTTCAAGCGTCCGATCTCTCCCGGATAGCCAAGAGGTTACAGAGCAGATAAAGACGTCGGTCTTGTTGTTCCTGGCGTGAACATATCTGTACGAGGGGTGGCATTTTCGTTGAACTTGTGTGAGTCCTAGAACACAGAGCCTTGACACCAACAAGCATGGCTGCTTGATGTTTGAGTGGAAGGGTTTGCATGGAAGGGACTTTGCTACCAGAACCGACCAGGAAATTCAGGTGGCCTATAAGAAGATGATCGCGGCATGTCACCTGGCATGACACGTCTCAAAACCTGGGAGTGCCTCTCTCCGAGCCCTCCGTAAGGATAGACGATAGCTATGAGCTGTTCGACGTGGCACCAGTCTTGTTGTGACCGATGTGCTCTGCTTCTGTCTCTCTGTCTCTCTCGCTTTGTCTGACTTTGCTGGGGCTACACAGTTGCTAGGCCCCTAGGCTCTAGGGATATTTGTTGGCTCAGGCTTGCAGATATGCATTCTGCGCAGGCTCAGGGTATCTAAGTTCCATGGTGTATGCAACTTGGGCCTTGAGGAGGCGGCGCCATATGCAACTACGGCGAGAACCCTAAAGCCCTAAACCCTATACTTTCTCAGTAGGCACCATGCTCTCCCTACTGAGACCCAGGAAACTGAGCACCAATGCAGCCTCAAGGTATGGACCCTGCAGTCCTACCAAGGTGGGCCGAACAGAGTGTCGCGGGAGCAAGAGCGGAAGTCGGCCAAGAGGACAGGCATCGGTCAAGGGATGCAAATCTTGCGCTCGACAAGTGAAGGCCCCAATGAAGCTTGGGAAGTGCTTGCAGTCACAGAGTGGACACAATGCCACAGGCTAAACCCAGCAGGGACCTCCGCCCCTATTTGGAGGAGGCAGGCGACAACAAGAAAGGCAGCTGCTTCCGAAGGACAGCACATCCAATATCATTCAAAGCCCGGACTCGTCCAATGCCCCCAGCAGGAGATCGGCGAGCCGAGCCGCCGGATTCCTTTCGCATTTCGCGCGTGCTAGATGCTCTGCTGCCCTCACGTGTCTAGGCAAGAAGTCACCGCGTTTTAAGTAACCCCAGCTAGTGCTAGCCCTTCACAACCAATCTGCACCTGCCACTTTTCGGCAGGTGAGACGTTGGCTTATGCGACCATCCTGCTGATTCTGCTTCCGTACATGGCCAGCTTCGTGTACGGTCTTGCCGGCCTCGTCTCCAAGTTCAGCCAAGGCATGGACTGTTTTGGTATTGCCGAATGTGCATAGCAAGACTGCATCAAGCTGACATCGGATGTGGCTGAACGAAACCAGCAAATTATGGCTTGCACTTGTGCGCCTGTCTGCCTGTCTGTCTTGTTTTGTCGTCCTGCGTTTGTTGGTCCTTGCCATTCGGAAGACGGAAAACAAGGAACCGAACAACGGCAGCACCAGTAAAGAGATCGCTGCAGGTTGCAACAGCCTCTAACGTTGACACGCGTTTCCTTCAGGAGGATGAGACATCACCGCTTCTCTGCAGTCCATCGCAGTCGTCAGCTGTGGGACCCTCTTGGAATCTCGGAGAGCCTGGCGTGTCTAACTGCCCTTGCAGCTCTTGCAGTTACCAGTTGATTGAGTGTGCTTTCTGAGTTGGGTTCCACTTATGAGTCTAGATATCCGGCGCTGGGGTTGGAAGGAGTTGGTGCAAGAGCTCTGGCAGACTGGTGATAACCCGAACAGACGAGCATTT